ATTTGATACAATCCCATTATTTCAAATGACAACTTAACTTTTTCCCTAGTAAGAGTGATCTAGCATTGAAAAACTCAGTGCCAATGAAATAACAATGCCCGAGAGAGTACTTAAGTTTAGTTGTATATGCCAAATATATTTGAAAAAGTTAATAGTACCTATATCATTTAAAGATATTTTTTGTAAATCAGTCATCTCCTTTAAGTTTACTTAAAGGTAAGAATTCCCAGCCGTTTACCGTATATAACACATATTTTAATTATAAATTTCAAATAGAAATGGTCAGTATTTGGACTTCATGTTATTATCAATCCAGCTGAAAACATGAAAGCGTATTTATCTTTTCAAATATTTTTTTATTATTTCAGCATATTACGGGGGTACAAATGTTTAGGTTACATATATTGCCTTTGCCCCACCTGAGTCAGGGCTTCAAGCATGTCCAACCCCCAGACAGTGTGCACCACACCCATTTGGTGTGAATGTACCCATCCCTTCCTCCCCCTTGCACCTGTCCAACACCGATGAATGTTACTACTATGTGTGCATGTTTAAGTGTTGATCAGTTAATGCCAATTTGATGGTGAGTACATGTGGTGCTTGTTTTTCCATTCTTGTGATATTTCACTTAGAATGTGCTCCTTATGAGAATCTAATTCCTGATGATCTAATATGGCACAGAAGTCGTGATGCTGGTGCTGAGGAGCCACTGCAAATATAAAATACGATTAGCAGAGAGGTTTGACTGCACAATAAATATAATGTGTTTGAATCATCTGGAAAACCGTTTCCCCCCTCCCTGGTGCATGGAAAAATTGTCTTCCATAAAGCCAGTCCCTGGTGCCAAAAAGGTTGGGGACTTCTGCCCTAGCTGATATCTTCTCCATTTGAGCTAACTTCTCATATAGTATTCCTCTCTTGGAAACAATGCTTGCCAATGTAAAAACCTCTTGCCTTACTACTTTCAAATAATTTCATTTCAGTTCTTTATATTCAGTGTTCTGGTATATCAGGTCTCAGACCTTTTTTCAAGGTGTAACTTTGTCTTCTGATCATCAATACTAGCTATCCAAACACCCAAAGATTCTTTTTCCTTACATAAAATCCTTATCCAACTATCAGTTCCTGTGTCAGCTCTAAATGAGTCTTTGCCATGCGTGGCTCTTTACTTCCTCGCTTACATATTAATTGAAGTTTGTTGTAATATCTATTAAATATGCTTAGGCATGGGTTATATATAGAAGAACCATTTAATACTGATTATGCAAATAAGGTGTCACAAGTCACGTTCTCCAGTTGGCAGAGTTTGATATGAAAAATAGTTTAAAGGAAGCTTATTAGAAAACGTGGATAAGAGGGAAGGACATTAAAGTAGCCCTAGAACAATATTGTGAATATATATTATTGCCCATTTTAAAGAAAAGGAAACTGTTCTCATCCCCTTTTCTAATAGAGGTAGAAAAAAATACATTTGTTAACTCAGAGTTATCTCCATATACCCAAGACTGGGTTAATCTGCTTTGGCAAAGATACTATGTCTGGGAATTAGTTGCAATAGTAGATAATGAATGATCAATTTT